GCGTTGGCTGGTGGATCTCTGACCTCGAATTTAATAGGGGTCCCTTCTTGTAGAACATAGTATCTGTTTACTTTAGGTCTTTGCTGTTTTATTTGGTAGAGCTTGGCTTTCAGTATTCTTTAATCGCTTCATAAGGGGCTCCAAAGTGCTTCCCCCTTGCTTGTCATGGTTTAAAGGCTGTCCAATGTCTGCTAAAGCACTCTATTCTCAGATATTTGGGGAAAAAATAATACACAAAATACATGGGCAGGAAGGAAAGAACACGCAGTTGGTTTAGGAGCCAAGACTTTATGGAATTCCAATAATTAGGTTCTATAGTTAGAAAGTTTACTTAAACTTGTCTAAAATTGCGAGCTGAACAACTACCTTTGTTATTAATTAGATAGATGCATTTAATTCTATGTGACTTTTGTTTGACTTACAGCCTCATCTAGACAGTTTGATTCCAGTGGTGTAGCAGAGCAGGAGATACTTGTGGATATTTTATTTGGTCGTTTTGAATAGTTAGAGCTCTTAATCGAGTTTCACACTGGCTTAAAAGGTTTAGTCTGTAAAGTAGCTAAGATGATTTATCCAGATGAAGCATCTTCTTGGCAGAGCTACTGCTCCAGTGTGTTTTCAGGAAGACCTCATTTCGTGCTCTGAAATGTAGAAGTATGCAAGAAGTGAATTACCAATTTTTCCATGAGCAATTTTCCATGATTAAGATTATGTATTCATTTCATTATGGGTTTACCTTATTGTTGAGCTATCTTGCGTAGATAACTTAATTCACAGACTTCCGAAATTACTTTCTTGGATTGTTCTGTTTGTCTCGAGTGCCTCTTCCTCACCTGAACAGCAGAGGCGGGTAGGGTGTGATTCCCAGTAGGCACTTTCAGCCAGCTGCATGCATGTAGAAATGAGCAATTGATAAGAGAGTGAGCTTCGCTCATGGATAGAACATTTGCATTTCCTTCTATTTTATAACATACATTAGCTACGTAAATAAACATCAATTATGTAATAAACATAATAAAATATTATATAATAAATATATAAACAGTTTTTTTAAAACAACATTCCCTAAAAAAAAAAGTGAAGAGGAAAAATACCATTTCAGCTCCTTAGGTGATTTATGTTTCTGATTTTTCAGCTCTTTAGAAAATGTACTTGCGAACATATTTACCAAAATATGTATTATTTTCTATTTACTTTCCAAATAAAGCAATTGGTTGGAATCAGTAATTTAAAGAAAGATAAGGGGGGATGCTATTTGGCTAAATGGCTCCTTAATGGGTTTTTTGCCTAAAAAGGATCGTAAAATATTAAGATAACTATTGTAAGTTATTGATTAAGGTCACACACATTGGTAATCACTGTTAACCTTCTGTATTAAGCTAGGAAAAATATACATGTGAAAAGCTCACTCTTAAGTTAACAAGTTGTAACGTATTTTCTCTACCTTGTTCTTGATTTTACACTCCGATGTGTCTGCTTTCCTTTTCCCTGTTTAGTCTTTGCTCTTAGGTTTAGCTTTTTCCTAGAGCTGCCCCTCATTCTTGTTTAGAATTAGACCCTCCCATCCCCGCTAGCTGCCCATGTTTTGTTGCTCCTTTTCCCTGAAGGCATCTGTGGCTTTACTCCTTGCCACTGCTTTTCTTTTTCTAGTTGCTTTCTGATGAGGTTGTTTTCCAGGTGGTGTTAAGTCAATAGGCCTTTCTCTTTTTGTGTATATATGGCTGTTAGACCTTTGAAAACAGAGCCCAAAAGGTCTAAACTGGGGGTTTCTAGGTATGGATCAGAGATGAGGTCTGTCTCCTGCCAGCTTCCACCCTGTTCCCAATTCCTGTGCTGCTGCTGCAGCTCCCAAGGAGTCCTGCCGAGCTGCTCCCTCCCCTGTAATCAGTGTGTCATAGCTGACATTCGGGTATGGACAGAATATCAAAATGCAAATGTCGTGAGTATAATGAGGAAATAGTGTTGCACTTGTGAAAAGCACCGGTAATGTGAACATTATTGAGTACATTTGACATGAAAAGAGATAGTAAAGAAAACACCTGACACGGGGAAACCAAAAACTTTCTTATCTTTCTGCTATTAATATGTGATACCTCCAGATGTTTTTAACCTACTTCGATACAAAAATCGTAATCTGTGAAACATGTTTTGGTTTATTAGTTGAAGCAAAGTTCAAAGAAATAACGTAAAGTTTATTTGCAAGCTATATGTAGTGTTTACTGCCTGTTAGTAGCAGCCAAAAATCACCAGTAAGGCAAAACCCACTGTATATGTATGTAAAGTAACAAGGACTTTGGAGAAGGAGATGTGCGGCCCCAGTCCGCAGCCAAAGGAAAGAGGCTTTGGGCTCTCCATGCTAATACCAGAAAGGATTGATGGAGCGTGGTGCTGCTTTCTGTAATTGCATCACCTGTGATAGGTGGGTACAGAGACCTTTTCTGTAAAGTTTTTATTGGTGTTACCAGTTCTCCTACTCTTCTGTGCTCCCACACATGACCAGTGTTTAAGGACTGAGCCCTGCAGTGGAGTTTACGTTGGCTTAAGGCTGAAATACTTTCATTGTTTCATATGTATCAGCACAATAATGTAAAATCTCCATTATCATACAGTTTTAAATTTAAAGTGGAAAAATACAGACTGCAAACTGGAGTAGGACTTGCTAGGTGACTTTCACTATTTTAAAGCAGGGTGAAGTAGAACAAGCAAACAGTAAGCGCTGCGAAGAATGAGAGCACTTTGGTATTTCTGAAGTGTTAGTGACAAGGATAAATGACTTGGTTTTACTTGGTAACAATTCTTACTAGTTGTCCAATATTTAAGCTGTGATTTCAGTAAATTGTGGTTTAGGCTGTGTGTTTCCTTGAGAGTTTTCAAATCATAAGCAGAAATTATCAGCCATGTGAGAAATTTTCAGTCTTCCTGTTTCTAAAGATAGGTAAGTGGCTGAGTCACTAAAGCAGTGTCTTTCCCCGTATCTCTGTATGTGGACCAAGTTGATTTTAGATTGCCTGGCTGTTGCAAATGTGGATAGA